CAGTGGTTTACCTGGACCGCACAGGATGATATTAAGTCAGCTGATCCTAAGCATGAAGGATTGGGTTAAATTCATGGAATTCATCTTGCTGAGTGAGAAGAAACATTTTTAGTATAAGTAGCCGTTGTTCTTTCCAGGTTGCCATCAGGGGTGTGCCAAGACTGATCCGGTGATGTCATGCAGGTGGTACCAGTGTTGCCACCACAATAGAGAGGGAATAACACTGTTTCAGTTTTGATGATGGTGGAGTCTTTACTTTCATTTATTTCATTTACATTTTTTTTCTTAAACCCCTTTGTCTCTATCTCACCAGATAGTTGTTTTCAATTATTGTCAAAAACCTTAATCAGGGGTCATATAGTCGCTAGATTTAACCTTAGGTGGGTCATTGTTAATGGTGTAAATGTGAGATACCCTAACCTCGATACATACAAGTGGCAAACACACTGGGTTGGCGAACTTCACTTTAAAAATTAATGGTTAAGAGAAGACTTCATACAATCCTCATCGGTTTTTTGATTGAATTTCTTTATATTTTTTTAAGGAGAAAGCTGTTGTGAGAGGAAACTGAGAGAATCTGCATGTTCAGTTCCGAGAGGGTCAAGATGATTCAAAGCACTTAACCACACCTGTCACATCACCATACAGCCGACACATATTTGTTGTCTCTTTTATCTACGGCATACTGTATGTTTTAAGATTTTTTTTATATATATATATATATATATATATATATATATATATCGACATGGGTAGAAAGTAGCAATAGCACTTTGGAAAGGTGAAGCTTTTGGAAAAGTGAAGGGGTTGTTTGGTAACGTGGGAGCGGATGTGCCATGGAATCACAACGAAAGGGATGATTGTGACAGGTATTGGAGAAAATTCCAGTTAGGTTAGAGAAGCATTTATGGCGACAAAAGGAAAAAGAAATATGATGTTTTTTTAGCATGTGCGCTTGTACAGCCGGCCATGCAAAAAGTTAGGGAAAAGTATTGGAATGTGTTTTGAAAGTTTGGGATCTGGTGTCAGGATTAACAATGAAAAAGCTTTGAAATATCCCACTGATGTTCTGTACTAGACTAGAGAGCATTAGAAAGAAGCTCACGCCACAGAATTTTGAAGGGTGTCATATATTTGTAATGTATGTGTGCGTGTGCATGATGCTGGTCTGTGTCTGTTCATACACACACACACATGCTTACACAAACACAAAACAGTACAGACCATCCCCCGAAACTCAATGACCTATAATATGTACTGTATTTGTTAATAAGCATTTAGATGAATGCAAATGCTTTTTGGTGCATATTGTCCCTCCTGCAAAGACACTAGTTGACTGACATTGGATTAATGCACACTGTTAACAGTACAGTTGTACAAAAAGTGTTTGTGTATGTGTGTGAGTTTGTGTATGAGTGTATGTATACTGTGTATAGGAAAAGGATATACTCATTTGATATATAGTCAGTGCTAAATGTCCAGTGTTTCTACTTGGAGTCGTACTTAAGAGAATCTTGCAATTTGCACATCAGGAGGAGGGAGAAGGGTGGAGACATAATTTTTAACGGCCCTGTCCTGAAACGAGCCCTAGACCACGTAACACACTGGAGGAGACCAGGGTTTTTGTTCCTCAACAGGCACTTATCACATTGTAGAGGAAAAGTTTCTACATCAACGCAGTTAAGGTCAAATTACATTTGAGTTTCACAAACATAACCATAGCTGTAAACCAGAATTTTAACATGTGCCTGCCTACTGAATTTACTGACTTTAGTTAAAGATATACCATTTGTAGTGTGTGAAGGAAAATTGAGATTTTTTGCCCACTTTTCCTGCTGTTGAAACCAGGGTGTAGGGACTAGGGTTCAGTTTTGAGCACGGCCTGTGCTTTCAGCCAGCTGAAACTCTGTTTTGCTAAGATGTAGCAGTTACCTCAACAGATGTGCTTGCTTGGTTGTTCCAACGTTTAGAGCTTTGTAAGCAAAGCTTTGTCAGTTAAACATCCTCTCAGGCTCTTTCTTGCATATGAATGCCTAAGTTCTGTTGTTTTTTTGAGCTTGGTTTTTAGAGGTGTAATGTAAAGTGTGTACCACCTGATGATTCTTTGATTATACTGCATAAACGTCAGTGAAATACACTGACAAATTAAAATTTGACACTTAAGAAGAACAAAATTAAATTGGCAAAAATGTATCCGTGATGGTGGACACACGTGGTCTGGGATTCAATATGTTCTGATTGTACGGTGCCATTTAACATGTTAATGTTTCTCTCATGCTGCATGTAACAATGCAGTATGATCATGCACTGTAGTTAGATTAGCATGTGCAGGTTGCTGGCACAATAGTGTTGTTAAGGAGGTGGAGAAGAAGGTGGCTACCTGCGGGCATATCTGTTGAGCTTTCTACTCAGCCTCTGTATTTAGGTGTGAGGTATTTTTTTTTCTCTAAGAAGTGAATCAGTCATATTTTCATCCCACTGATAATGTCGGTTTAGCTGTGTGGCGGCAACGCTGTTTCCAGTGGTGGGAGTGTACCAGGGTGATGGCAGGATAGATGTGTGCTCGGATGGATGAGGAATGGATGGATAGGTGGTTGAATAAATGTGCAGATGGATGGTGATGGTGAGTAGACCCCATAAGATATTTGAAAAGGCTTTATTTTTTATAATAAAACAGGGTTTCTCAGATCAACACCACCACAGTAGTGCATTTTCATTTCTTCCTTTTCCTAATGAAACATCGTTATCATTAATAGTGGAAATAGGAGTACGTTTGTGTGCGCGCATGTTTTGCAATCTGTGTGTGTGCGTGGCTGTATGTTTTGTAAGTGTTTGTTCTTCTCTTTTTTTTTTCATGTTACTTGTTCTTTTGTCCAAACCCCCTTTTCCCAACAAATGTAAAAGCAGAACCACAACATCTAAACAAACTTATCAGCCACTCAGACCATCAAAACTTTTACTGTCAGGTAGAAAAAAACATTTTTAGCCAAAGCCAAGTGATGCTTTTGTTGCTTTGGTTAGTTTAGAAAGCAATAGTTCGACAATATTCAGGCACTGCTTGTGTATAAGTGGAACACACACACACGCACACA